TAATAAAAAAGCACATACGAAGTGGAACTATGAGTCGTATTGGTCGCTTGTTTCAATCTCCAACCCTGCTAAAGCACTACGTGTGGTTTTCTGCTCCTACTGTGAAAGAAGGGAGAGCAGGAGGTCACCGGTCCCGCTCCCTCAAAGATCAGGGCAACAGCAGATCAACAACTGGCAAGGGTTGGCCCAAGGAAAGGCAAAGGGATGGATGGGATTTCTTTGCCTTATTTTTTTTTTTTTTTTTTTTTTTTTTTTAATATTTATTTTTTTTTCCTCCCCAGCTTTTGCAATCTGACAGAGGCGGGCGAAAGCAAGTTCAGAGAAAAGACATTCCCCTGAAGAAGAGCAGGAGAACAGTCCTCGAGCCCTGCCTGTGCTAGGTGAAGGACAGCCAGCCACACCACTTGCTCAATCCTAAAACCATCTCCCCCAAGCCCTGGAGACACACTGGCAGTTGAACTGATTTTCCAGGTAAGCCTCTTTTTTTTTTTTAAACCCTGAATCTTGATAGCTGAGCGCTCCTGAACCAGGAAGTTAAATCTGTTTGAAGACAAAACACAGCAGAAAATGGTGTAAGAGCAGAGCAGGGGTTGCTCAGCCGCTCGGTGTAACAGACACGCTGGTTTATTTACTCAGTTATCAGCCTCAAGCAGATTGGGCATTCGTGCCATCTGACTTATTTCAGATACCACAGTTGCAAGGGACTTACAAACACCCACAAGAGATGGATGGACAGGCAGAAAAACCCCCCACTAACATTTTCCCTTTAAGTAAAAGTTACCTCATGCGTTTGTGGCAAAGTGAAAGGAAGGGAGCACGAAGGGGAAGAAGCGCTCATTGCTCACCGGTGATGCTGGGTTAAAATTCACGTGGCAAAAACAAAGCTTCTGCCAAGTTTTCAAAAATGAACAGAGTTGTAGTTCTGGGGCTTTGGGGAAAAGCTTGGGAAGGAGCCAAAAGCTGAAAAAAGAGAATCCCCCGAATAATCCTCCAATGCCCTTAACCTGATGGTGGACCATTCAGGCCTGCTTTTTGGATGTCGGAGACGTGGTGGTGGCCGTGATGCAAGAGTTACAGATTTCTGTAACACTGCTATCCTAAAGGTTAGGAATTGTGGGAAGCCAAACCAGGACACTCTCTGCTTCTGCCAGGATATTTTGCCACATGGAAATGTGTCATTTTCCTTGCTTTGTTTATATACTGAAAGTATCTTTCCAAAATTCCTGTAGAATCATCAGATTGAGAACTTAATCCCATTGGAACAGTTGGCTTTTTTCTTAGGATTTTTCCTTAAGAATCATACACAAGAACTTTAGAACATTTTGGGGCCTCTTGGGTCAAAAATCTGAACAACATCACTCTGTTCTCAGAAATGCAGTGGTGCCTGGGGAGGAATAACGGAAGTTCTTGGCTACATCAAAATCCCTTTCTTGTTTGCTCACCATCAAGGGCTGGGAGGGCTCAGGCTGCTTTCCAACCCCGTGCTTGTGAAACACAGATTCTGCTGAGCCCTTCTGCCACGGCTGGGATGAGGAGGGTGATGGCTGGTCCCTTCTCCAGGGACAGCTACCTGCCGCTGGGGACACTACACATTGAAGGAGCAAATGCATCCCCAAAAAAATGATGACAGAAAACGTGAAGCCCCCTGAAAACATGTAGTTTTGCCCCAAACCTTGACTCCTTCCTGCTGCTGGCTGCCTAAATAATGAAAGAAATATCACAGCAGGGCAAATTTATTTCAGTTTTGGTTGCAGCGGAGGTTCTGGATTGTTCTGTAAGAGTTGGGAGGGTTTATTTCCCTGCTTCTGCTTTGCTGAGTCAAACCATGAGTAAAGCAGCTCAGATCTGGCGAGTCTCAGTTCCTATAATTTCTAGCGGGGAAACGGTGCTGCTACTGTTTTTGTTCCTTCCTATAGAGATTTGTAGCTTTGCTGGGCAGGAACTCTCTGCTGAAATGTGCTTAGCACAGCTGGAACTTCTCCTCACAGCTGTAAAAGAAACAATTAAAAATAACATTTGTGCTCATCAGCAGTGTCCCATTGGCTTCCCTCAGCGCTAATACTCCCACTCAGCTGCCTTTGATAGGGCCATTACTCAAATCCCACTCCTCTCCCGAGCAGGCTTCCCATACTGATGAGTGTCCCTTAAAAGGGATGGGGAAGATCCCTCTGTCATTTCTGACACAACCTATTATTTTTTTCACCCTTCTCTCAGAGGCAGCATGGACATCAAGGAGTATTTTGCCAGAATTTCTTACCGGGGCTCCTACGATAAGCCAGACCTGGCTACCTTGACGGATATATTCCAGCACCACATCCGAGCGGTCCCTTTTGAAAACCTCAGCATCCACTGTGGGGAAATCATTGAGCTGGACCTGGAAGCGACTTACAACAAGATAGTGAAGAAGAAACGCGGGGGCTGGTGCATGGAAAACAACTACATTTTATCCTGGGTCCTGAAAACCCTCGGCTACAACGTCACCCTCCTGGGATCAAAAGTTTACGTCCCGGAGTACGACGCGTATGCAGAGGAAATCGATCATCTGCTGCTGAAAGTGGTGCTTGACAACAAATCCTACATTGTGGACGGTGGGTTTGGGATGGTCTACCAGTTATGGCAGCCACTGGAGCTGGTTGCGGGGACAGACCAGCCCCAGACCCCTGGGGTCTTTCGCTTGCTGGAAGAGAACGGGGTCTGGTACCTCGAGAAGGTGAAAAGGAAGCAGTGGGTTCCTGACCAAAGCGTCTCCACTTCCCACAACGTGGAAAAAGAAGTTTGCCGTCGGGTTTATCTCTTCACCCTTCAGCCACGAGACATCGAGGAGTTCAGAGCCCCCAACACCCACCTCCAGACAGCGCCCGACTCGCTGTTTGTGACAAAGTCCATGTGCAGCCTGCAGACCCCCGACGGTGTCCGGGCCCTGGTGGGGTGGAAACTCACCGAGATAAAGTACAATTATAAGGATAATATGGATCTGGTAGACATCAGAATCCTTGCAGACGAAGAAATGGAGGAAACACTGAAAGAGAAATTCAATATAACACTAGACAAGAAATTTGTACCCATCAATAAAAGCAGGTTGTCTCTGTTTTAACTCACTGCCTGAATTATAATTCAATCCAGTGTCATTACACGCAATCCTTCCCCTATTTCTGACAAGCATCTAAAGGTTAAGCTTTCTTTTCCATCTACATCGGTGTAAGGCAGAACACATTAGCATGAATCTGGCAAAGAAATTGATTTTCACAACTGCTCCTGCACCTCTTTTTGGTTTGGGTACAAATAATTTCTTCCTAGCTCAATCAAATCACTGCCCTTCTGTCTGTGCTTGGCTGGAAGCAGACTCTGCCCATTCCCTACTCCTTTCATCTCTTAAAAGCATTTCCAAATACACCCAGAGCAGAGCAGAGCGATGGAGATGTAAGTCTCTTTCTTTATTACTTTGCTCTGCCACCTGGGAAAAACCATACCCACCTCTTAAATGAATACCGTGTTATTTTGGGAATTTAATAGTCAGAAAAACAAAGAGATCCAGTGCCCAGTTTTCTACAGTTAAGTTATAAGCCTTTTTGTTCTTACATTCATAACACCCTCTCAGGCGGCAGTCGGACAGTCCCACCCTTGCGCCACACTGTGCGAATACTTACCCATGGGCTATTTATGGACTAAAACTCATGATGAGAAATATTAGTGGACAATTCTGTCTTTTTTTTTTTCAGACTTTATGTGACTCATCTTCTCTCAGTGACATAACCAAACAGCAGTATTTCTTTGAACTGAAAGCATCTCCCATCCATTTTGCTTGCTCCCATCCAGCAGGGGACAGCTGGGAATACACACTCCTCTTGCCAGACTCGACTCCAAGTGTTATTGCCCATCAATTATCATGGCAGAACTGAAACACATGTGCAGAGTTATTTTTCTGAAACATATCTGTACTACTGAGGAGGTGTTTGCAGTGACACTAATTACATTGATATAAGGAGAAACGAGGAATACCTAAAGGCTAAGATTTTTAGTACGAGAAATTACTCAAATGTAATCACTTTGCCCTTCGAGATGATGCTTGATGTTCCTTTATGTACAAATCGTGGAAGTATTACAACTATGCACTTATAATTAAGTAAATTATATAAATGAATTACAATTAAATAAAAAAAAATCAAGAATTATAAAGCAGTATTCAGCTGTTTTTTCCCCAAATTACAGCATGTATTCCCAAAGTAAAAAAATTCCTTAATCACTGCAGTTTTCCTGATTATTTGCACGTGCTAATATTTTGCAGCTAAGGCTTTTAAAAATGCAATAACTCACTGTCCCTTTTTTATTTGTTATGCAATATGTGTGCAGCTTTCTATAACTAGCAATTTACAGTTAATAAAAGCTATTCTGCAGGTTCACAAGAGACACAGGGAGTTTCCCAAATCCCTGTCAAATGCATCTGCATGTGCTTGGCTGCACGTGTGCAATAGTCCCTTAGAGCACATGAGGTTCCTCCATCCTATAGGGAAATGAAACATTAACGACTGCCCCTGTGGTGGCTTACAGAAGAAAAAGGGGCTTCTTAAAGTGTGGCCCAGCAAGTTGGAACACAGATGGTCAGAAGAAACTGTCCCGGGATCTGGCTTGTTTGCAAGCTCTAGCCTTCTTTGGTCCCTGGGTCAGTGGAAGAGCTGAAGGAGCCAAACTTGGTGGGTTTATCCTTGCAGCAGCCTGGCAGCTGGGGCAGAGCATCGGGACAGAGGTAAAAGCTCAGCCAGCTCTCACAGAGGTGAGGGGTGGGAGAAGGGCCATGGCAGAGCCAACAAGCTCCACCATTTATGGGAACAAACACGGGAAACACTTAGAAAGAGCTTGGCTCGTTCCTCTCCCCATGCCTGGGTGTTTCTTGTGCTTTGGACAGTTTCATAGGCTCAGGTGAAGGAGCAGGGCATTATCACAGAATCACATGGGGTTGGAAGGACCTCTGGAAACCATCTAGTCCAACCCTCCTGCCAAAGCAGGTCCACCCAGAGCAGGTTGCATAGGAACATGTCCAGGTGGATTTTGAATGTCTCCAGAGAAGGAGACCACCACTTTTCTGGGGAGTCTGTTCCCGGGCTCTGCCACCCTCACAGGAAAGAAGTTCCTCCTTACGTTTAGGTGGAACTTCTTACATTCAAGTTTGTGCCCATTACCTCTTGTCCTGTCACTGGGCACCACTGAAAAAAGGCTGGCTCCATCCTCTTGACACCCATCCTTTAAGTATTTATAAGCATTGATCAGATCCCCCCTCAGCATTCTCTTCTCCAGACTAAAAAAGCCCAAGTCCCTCAGCCAATCCTCATAAGGGAGATGCTCCAGGTCCCTCATCATCTTTGTAGCCCTCTGCTGTCTCCTCTCCAGCAGTTCCCTGTCCGTCTTGAACTGGGGAGCCCAGTGTGCCCCATTACCCTGGAGATTTGGCGTGCAAAGGGCAAGCCATGACAGGAAAACCCACTTTCCTTTCAGCTGACTCCTCTCCTCCAGCGTGTGCCCCATCGGCTGCTGCCCTCCCTGTGGCACAGAGCTCAGCGCTTCTGGCCCTCCTGCTCAGCCCACCCACGGGAGCAGATTTCACTGCTGAGCAATCAAATGAAGCTCTCTGTTGGAAGGGGATAAAAGAGAGGCTGTTCATCTCGGATTGCACTAGTTTGCTTTTTCCTTATCGCTCACTTTGGAGGCAAACCCTTAAAGGCACAGCAGGCTCGGGGAGCGCAGCGTTCTCTGGGAGCAGCACCCTCGCTGCCGAAGGACAGGGTTTCTCTCTCAACCCAAGGGGATTAGACAGCTAAATGGCTTTGCAAAGCTGACCTTGCTGCTTTGGGGGTCTGGTATCAGCCACGAAGAACAGCTCAGTGCAGTGTGATTAATTCAATAGTCGCCAGCCCCCACGAATAAATCAGTGACTTCTTGGCTTGGATTACTATCTCTCTATCCTAAGTGGTTTCCTACAGGGATCCAAGGCCATATGACTGTCACAAACATAAAATCCATATCAAATGTTGCCCTATTGCTTTGCTGCTTCAGTATGGGTGCAACCATCCAGGTGCCCCAGCGACCGAAGCATCAGGGTGGTCTGGGGTTGAGGATGGGGTTATAACCACCTGCACGAGTTGCTTGAACTCCCAATATTGCATTTCTCCTCTGCATTCCTGGAGAGTTTCAGTTCTCAATGAGGGATTAAAATCTACTCAGTACTGTAAGCAATTTGGGGACTGGATAATTTGCAGGCTCCCTGTACAGCACCTAACACAATGAATGGCATGACAGGGCTTTCATTCATATGTTGACACGAATAAACAAATAAAACCATCAGAATATATTATATTATATTATATTATATTAATTATATTATATTATAAAAGAAGAAACTCTCTCCCCTCTTTTCCTGCTCTGCTGGAGGATTACGCTGTCCCTGCCAGGGGGCAAAGGCAGCCTGGACCTTTAAGGGCAGCAGTTCAGTGCAGCCCTTCCTGGGAGCTTTGGAGCAAACCCGAGCGGAAAGCCCGAGCTCGCTGGCTGAGAGGTAAGTGCTGAGTGTCTGATCTTTAACTTCATCCTGCAGCTGCGGGTCAGCCTGCTTGGAGAAGCCCCCCCCGTGTGTCTGCATACCGTGTGCTTTGCACTGTAGGCATATTAGCAAAGTATAAATCACAGCAACCCCCCGGCTGACGGCGTGCGTTGCATTGCAAGGACGTTGTCCAAGTACAAAGATCGAGACTTAAACTAACCCCTTTCTGCTGAGCCAGGGTGGATGAAAACCCCAGCTCCTGACTTGCAAAGTAGCTTAAAACCAAAGGAATGGTATAGGCATGTGCAAGAGGATCCAACCTTGGAAGCCTCTCATGAATTTCAGCAGAGAAGAGCTATTCAGCCTAATTATGAAAGGACACAGCGGTCCCCAGGGACGCTTGCAGACAGGCAGAACTAATGTCTGAATCTCACCACCCACCACACGGCTGCCGCGGGAGGAAAAAGTAACCCAAGGCTGAGAGCTGGACTCAGGCTTAAGATATTTGGCCACCCAGTTTTGGAAGGCAAAGTGTCCCTGGGCGAGGGCTTGCTCGCTGCTACAGCCCCATCCCTCGCGCGGTGGGAAGGGTTGTGCCAAGAAGAAAAGCTGCCTCCGGGAATGCGAGGGAGGGAACACTGGGTTACACGAATGCTCCCCAACGCCACTGATTTTGTACTGCAGCTTTTTTATACTTAAACCTCTTTAAGTATTCTTTGAGATCAGGGCCCATTTTCTCAGCCACCACGAGGATGTCTCTACTATACAGGCTTTAAATTGATGAGGCCACAGAAAGGGCAACTTGGGAAACTGAGGCAAGGGCTGGGAATTTCCCAAAATACGTTTTCCCAAAGCCTCATTGCCAGCACCCCGTGGAGGGTCTTGATGGGGAGGATGCTCATGGCTGGAAGAGGGGAGCTGGTTATATGTTGCACTCTTGCCAGGGTAATGGGGACACCCAGACCCAGGAGACAGGTTATAGGGTCTTGTGCTGCTGGCCCAGATGGGTTTTTGCTTGAAAGCAAATTTCAAGTGTATCAGACTCACCAGGCTAAAGGACTTGCTTGGGCCCCTCCTGATCACAGAGGTTCAGCTTGACACCATCACGGGGAAAATACGTTTCTATCTGGCCATGCAAAATGGCTAAAAGTGGGAATAGAAAGAAAAAAGGAGGCAGAGGACCACAGGATGAGCTGGCCAGTGCACACATGCTCTGTCTGTTGGGGAGACAATGGCTTTCTACAACCAGCGTTTCCAAGGAGATCCTATCAGAGATGAGTGCCCTTGTCCTAAAAAAGGGATGGAAAAAAAACATAAAATGCAGTATCAAAGACACATTACTGTTTTTTCATGTAGCCTCTTTGGGTCCTTTGAAGTGAAAATGTGTATTTCTTATTCCCTTATGGGGAATTTATTCTATTTTCCTGTGCTTTTGCATCAGCCAGTCTGAATCCTGGTATCAGTGCAGATCAGGAGCAGTACAACTAAGTCAAGTGAGTTGTGCTGCTGACATCAAAACTGAAGCTAAAGTCTTAGGTCATCTGACGGGTTTACCTGCTGGAGCAAGGGTATTCCCACCTATGTACTTGAGGTGGGATTTTCAAAAGCTCCCAGCACTCCCCTGAGCACATCAGGTCAAACTGCTGGTCACTCCTAGGGGAGCAGTAGGACCAAAGCCGCGAATAGTCACTGGAAGGTAACCTCTCCCCTCTCATCTACATCAAATGATTTTTGGAAAAATCCTCCCAGGGAACGTGCGACCAATTTCAAAGAGCAAGAAATCCTCAGGCCTTTTGAAAATTGATCTAGTCCTTAGCAGATTGTGAATCATTCTGGAAAACAAATATCTTTGCATCGAAAAAAGCCAAATTAAATATAAATTAAAAGCAAAAGAAATACTTGCAGATACCAGATGAGTCAGAGGATTAGAAGTGTTACAGAGAACCTTTTGCATCTTGGCCACACAACCAGTACCAATGACAGTTTCTTTCTGCTAATGAAAGGAAAGGGGATCAGAGACATGAAGATGCAAAATATATCCAATAATTTGAGCTGAAACTAAGGCTTTTGGATTGTAAAAGATGGTAAAAGAAATCAAAAGCTGATGAATACGCCTTGCATGTATTCCTAGTAATTACCAATTCCTCTGACCCTTAGCTTAGAAACACTAACTGCTCCTTCCTTTCAGCAGTCAGGGTCAAAGCTGTGTCTGAACTCCACAGGGGAAGTAAAGAGATTAAGAAAACAACAATCTACTTCACATGGAAGCCTGTCTAAAATGGTGACACACTGAGATGTTAATCCCAGTTAGCTGAAGCCTTGAATGTAAAACCTTCCTGTTAAATTACCTGTGGGATAAATAAAGAATTGCTTACCTGTTAGGGTAAAACAAACAGTAAGAAATTTCCGTGACTTTTATGCTGGTATGGTCTAGCAGCTTTTCTGAAAACCCGCTGGTTTTCAGTTTTATAAATTTTTTGTCACATGGAATCCTCATGCAGGGGCCAGAGGTGCAGTTGTGCCACGTGCTTTGTCCTCCCATAGGAAAGACATCCACCTGGCTTGAAGGCAACATCTGAGAGAGAGAGCATGATTGTCACCTGCTGCTGTCCTCATCTCCTTTTTAAGAAGTATCAATGACACAGGCAGATCTAGCCTGTATTCATCTCTTATCCTGGGCACAGGTTCAAAAATGGCCTTGGCTACGTTTGCAGGCTGGTTACCCTGTGCTACAGAAATAGGAGTGAACCCCTCAACAGCCACACAACAGTAACTCTTTTTTTTTTTTTTCCCGCTCATACAGGTAAAATGAACATTCAAGAGTATTTGGCAAGAATTTCTTACAACCAGTCCCATAAGGATGCAGACTTGCAAACCTTAACAGTCATCTTCCAGCACCACATCCGGGCAATCCCTTTTGAAAACCTAAGCCTGCATTGCGGGGAGACCATCGAACTGGATCTACAATCTACTTACAATAAGATTGTGAGAAAGAAACGTGGTGGATGGTGCCTGGAAAGCAACCACCTTTTATTTTGGGCCTTGCAAGAACTAGGGTATGATGTCTGTATTCTTGGAGGAAATAGTTACGACCCAGCAAAGAAGGCATACACTGCTGAGATAAATCACATCCTACTGAAGGTGGTGATTGAGGGGAATTCCTACATAGCAGATGCTGGTTTTGGCGGTGCCTACCAGGCGTGGCAGCCACTGATGCTGATTTCTGGGAAGGATCAACCCCAGACCCCTGGCATCTTCCGCTTCATGGAAGACAATGGCACTTGGTACTTTGAGAAAGTCAAAAGGAAGCATTATATTCCTGAGGAAAGCGTCCCTCCCACTGATACTCCAGAACTGGGGAATATAAGAAAAATATATACATTCACTCTTGAGCCACGATGTATAAATGACTTTCAGGAGCTAAACACATACCTACAAGTGTCTCCAGATAACTTACTTCGGAAGAAGTCCATCTGCACTCTCCAGACCACCGAAGGGCTTTATGCCTTAGTTGGATGGACCTTCACTAAAGTGAAGTATAATTACACGGAGGATGTGGACCTGATACAGATCACAACTCTTACAGATGAAGAGGTTGAGGAGACGCTGAAGGACAAATTCAATATAGTGCTGGAGAACAAACTCGTACCAATAAACATTCGCGGCTTGCCACCTAATATAGTGGATACAATGTAATTCTAATGCTGTGCTAGATGGCTCTTTAAATATCCAATATGAAAAGTTCTAAAATTAACATTAACAGCACTAATGTGATTCTAAAGTTGAGCTAGTGAGCTAAACACAAAGCTTGGTAAATTCAAGTACACTGCTAATTAATTGCATATACTGACTGTATGATTTTTCTTGAGCTTCTCCTTTAGAAACTGAGACATCTTACTACCTCTAATTTGCTTGTATGGAAATTGCTTTTTGACTCCATAACATTTTGTTCCACCTCTCTGGATCTTGTTTTATATCAGCTATATTTTGTGGCAAAGGAGACCAAAATGATACAGAAGGAGAAGCTGTATTACCATTTTACACAAAAGACCTCTAACCTTTTTAGGTATTATTTCCAATCTTCTTCTCTACAGAGCTTTACAAATTATTCACTTCCTTTAACAGTCTGAAATAGAAAGTTGAGCTGAATTTGGCTTTCAAAGACCTCATAAAAAAAAATATGTAAAGACTTTATCAAAACAAGCCACTATTAGGTGCTGATTAGCTTATGGTGAAATAAGTTGAAAGACTTGAGCCCTATTCCCTTACGAGAAATTGACTTAAAGTGAGCTATTTATGTAAGGGCACTTAAAAAATCCCAAAGCTCTGTAATTTTGAGTGTCCAATTTTTCTGAATCTGATTTTTCTGTGTCTCTAACATTGAAACAAAATCAATAGAAGCTGAGATGATTCAACGGTTCTTAAAAATGAGGCCTTTGGTATCAAAAATAGAAACAATCAAAGTTAGATCAATCTTTGCAAACTGAAGTCTAAATTTTTGGGATCTAACCTTCCTGCGATGTCACAAGAGTGTCATAGATAAAACTCTTCATATTTATTACAAACAGTAATAAATAAAAAATACCTTCTCTGCACAAAAGGTACCTTAAATAAGTAATACTGCAGATGCACAAGAAACCACTGGGAAGTTAGGACATGCCACCAGTGTGGTTTCACAGCGAGTTATACATAATACAAAAGCCTTTTACCTTTATGATACCTGTGGCAGGTACTGTACAGGATTTGACATGAAAGAAGGCGACAGAAGAGCATCGATCCTCAGCCAAGGAAAAGACTTTGACGTTTGTATTATTCCATCACACAGACTCATGGGGCACCTGCTGTGCCTAAAACTCAGGTGCTTTCCCAGATGCAGCCTAATGGCTCTTTGCCTTCCCAAAAGGGGCCTCCGACGTTCCACCTCCATCAAAGGAAGAGGGGACATGCTTGACAGGGAGAGAATTAAGTGAACAGCCCTACAATACTTTGAAGATGCAGAAGGCCAAGTTTTAGAGAGGAAATGCATTCCTTTGTGCAAATAAATATGTGCCATTGCATTTGTTCGGTGTGGCAGCTCCAAAACAACCACCTGCTGCAGTGGAAGCTTTGAGCAGATCGAAGTTCCTTTGTGGGCAAAGAAGGGTCATTTTGTGCATCTGCGGAGCCTGAGAAAACGCAGCCTGCAACACCTTGGCAATTCAGTGCACCCACAAGGAAGCAGATGACTATCCTCCCCTGCAAGGTGCTGGCTTTCAAAATAACAATAATTTAATTTAAAAAAATTACAGAGCCATTTGTGACTGTCTACTGTAATTATTTTACATGGAAAACAAGTTCAGTCCGGCCTCAACCAGGGGAAAACAGAAACATCTACTAATAGAGAAGAAACAAAGTTTAATTTGCCCATGGATCACTGAAGTCCAGAAATGTGCATTCATTTTGGGTGGACTCTGCCCCTTCTCTGCATTTAAGATTCAGGAGTAAGAGCCAGCAGACCTTTAAGAGGAAGCCAACCCTCGCAATTTGTATCCACTCCTGGCTTTACCGACTGCTGCCTCAGTAATAAACAACCCAGAAGCTGAATACATCAATAAATAAATAAGGCTATTTTAAGAGGTAAGTTTATTTTCTTAAAAAACCTCCCAAACCCCCAAACAACAAGCTTGGTTTATTTATGATGGTAAAGGTCACGGGCAGTGACATAAGCAGTATTCTCTTCAGGAAAAATGTTATAAAAATGTGTGGATATGGAGCTAAAATATCACCTGCTAAACATGGGCTCTTAAAGAGGACAAAGCAATGATACTGCAATCTCAGTCCTTCTGTCTTTCTGCTCCTCAGGCGGAGAGTCTCTTGACTATGAGAGAGATGCGTTTGTTTAGATACAATGGTATATACAAATTTAGAACTACAACCTCTTGTTGAAAGTTATTCTTTTAGATTTTTAATTCTATTTAAAAATATTGCAAAGGCAAAGTAAGCAAAAAGGCAATCTAATAATCAATAGATTCTGCTTTATGGGAATAAAATTATAGTTCTTTAAAAACAACTTAAAAAAAATGAAATTAAAAACTATGGTTCATGTACCCCAAAAAGTCCATGTGCTGACATATTAGGATAAAAGTGGACAAATAATGTATTTTAACAGTGGAATTTCTGATAGTGTGTATAGTACGGGTAAGGAATATTTTTGCATGGACACCTTCATGTGCACATTTAGAAATAGTTCTTTAAAGTTTATCTGCTGATGTTTTTCTCTGAGTAAATCATAGCCACATTTGTGGGACTACCTTTTCAGTATTAGCTTTTCATCTGATCTGTTCACAATTCAGAAGAACTGTACCTTTCATTTCCTACAGTCAAGATCTAACGCTGATCAATCATATTATGGAGCTGCAGGGAGAAATTACGAATAATATAAACTTGAGAACCAGCTTTATGCTGGTGTGAACTATTTAGCATTCCAAATTTGAGCGGGTAGGATCCGATAGACATGGATTCTGCAAATCAAAAGAAAAAACTGGCAGTAGTCTTATGTTCTACTTAACAAATATTACATTGAGAATATCCCCCAACAATGCACTTAAATATCACTGGAAGCTAAATTCCTCTCTGTAGAAGATAACACACAGTTTTTGATGGAGCCCTCCGTTTTTACTTTGGACAGCTGCTTCTATACCATGCATATGCACATCACGAATCTGTCACTGAAAATCATCTTGAGAAATTCTGGTTTGCAGTAAACATTCAACACTTCCCCACTGAATTTATCTGAACACAATAGTCTTCCTGAGTCACTAATATTAAGTGTCTAAACCTCAGCTTAGTGTATGCACAAAAGATTTCCAAGCAGCTTTGTGGGCTGTCAAGAAGCTAAATATTTGCAGTAACTCTAGGCTGCTGAAATGCTTGGTGCTTTCTTCGCAAAGGTTCAAGCCTTCAAAAGAATTTGTGCCTGGCTCCATACCCAAGCAAATGATCTACAGTGTGTTTTACAGCCAGTATCTATCATCAGATACCTACAGAGCATCCAGCTCGTAGTGGTGGCCAGCAGACTGTGATGGGCCATTGCCAAAGCCAGGTGACCATAGGTGACTTTCCACAGAATTAGAAGGTAGAAAATAAGCTGAGTAGTTCCTCATCCAGCAACCTTGTTCACAAGGAGTCCTACCTGGGCACAGCTGGAGGCAGGACAGACCAGGGATGTGCTGTATGAGGCTTCAGTAATTCGCAGTCACTCCTCCTCTGGAAGGAATAAAGTGAGGTTTGAGAAAGGCCAGGACTAGAGAGCTCTGAAGTAGCCCCTGTCCATTTATGGGGCACCCTGCGAGACGTGGGGAATGGAGATGAGCTCTTTGTACTTTAGGTCACTCGTCTCCATTCAGATTCATTATTCCGACACCAAAATGACTTTGTGCAACACTGGGAGCGGACAAGAGACTCTGTGGTCTGTGACTCTTGCAAAGGTCAGAGGTTTTTTTTCAGTTATAATTATCTGAATAAAACTTGACACTTTACAAAATGTGCAGGGAGTATCACGCTCGCTTTTTCTAAGTGGCGAAAGAGCGGTGTGTACCCACTGAGCAATTCATTGACCGTCACCTAGAGCAGTGGCAGACTCGTGAAATGACCACGTGAACCCTGGCTCAAATTATTCTCCCTCTTACTGACAGATGACACTGCCTCCCCTTCCGACACCCCCTTCACTCAACACTGGGTTCAGACCAGTTTTCATGATCCCATGGCGTGACCTTACCTTTCCTCTTAACCCCGCTGGCACAGCGCACATTCAGCAAATCCCTGTTTTGCAGCCCCACCATCTCAAGCTGAAACAGCATCAGGTCTTTGCCACAGGGATCACCCTCAAGGCAAAAAGCAAACCCTCATCTGCACTGCCCTCCTTTGCTCTGGGAACCGTTTAATAGGAATTCTTGTTCCCTTTAAAAACAGCTCTGATGAGGTTCTGTAGATTAAAGCATCTCTGCTGGCAGCAGCCCGGGCAGTTTTTCACAGCATCGTAAATCATCGATGTAAAGAAACAAAACCAAAATGCAATTCCTTCCTTTACAGGTGACATGAACCTTGAAGAGTATTTTGCGAGAACTGGCTATAAAGGTTCCCTTGAAAAACAAGATTTGGAAACACTCACCGACATATTCCAGCACCACATCCGTGCTGTTCCCTTCGAAAACCTCAGCATCCATTGCGGGGAGAAAATTACTTTGGAGTTTGAGCAGGTTTATAACAAAATCGTGCGGAGGAAGCGGGGTGGCTGGTGCATGGAGAACAACCAGCTGTTGGGCTGGGTCCTGAAATGCCTGGGGTACGACGCCAGCTTTCTGGGAGCGTACGTGTTCAACCCGCACCAAAACGCCTACGCCACCATCATGACCCACCTTCTTGTAAAGGTGGTCATCGATGGCAAAGCCTATATTGTTGACGGAGGCTTTGGTGTATCCTACCAGATGTGGCAACCGATGGAGCTCGTGTCAGGGAAAGACCAGCCCCAAGCTCCCGGCGTCTTTCGCTTCACGGAAAAAAATGCCATCTGGTACCTTGAGAAAATGAGGCGGAAACAATACATCCCCAATCAAAATTTCTCCAATTCTGATCTTCTGGAGAAAAAAGAGTGTCGGAAAGTTTATATGTTCAGCCTTGAGCCACGGACAGTGGAAGATTTCCGTTTCCAGTGCACCTACCTGCAGACGTCTCCCGATTCCCTCTTTACAAAGAAGTCCATCTGCACTCTCCAGACCACCGATGGCTTTCGAGCGCTAATTGGGTGGACACTCACTGAGACCACATACAACTACAAAGAAAATATGGATCTGGTGGAATTCGTAACTCTGGAAGATGAAGAGGTGGAAAAAACCCTCAAAGAGAAATTCAACATAACCCTGGATAGAAAACTTGTCCCAATTAACGTCAAAGGATTTTACACAATCTAGATGGCCAGAAAAAACCTACAATAATGCTATGTATGTGCAGTACCTTCCAGTCTGCACAATCACTACTGTAAGATTATGGGATTCTTTTGCAGGAGATTGAAGGAAAAATACATTAGTACCAGATTAAAGTGAATTTCACTCTGGGAAAAAATCAAGAAATTTAAGACTCTTCTGTCAGGTAGATAGAATTATTTGCTGTGAGATGACTGCAGTTCAATTTTTGGCACAAATGTAGGATCTGATTTGAATCTGGTTATAAACTTGGGTAATAAATACGTCTGGGGAATTTTGGAGTGCCTATAGCACATAAATAGCAGTACGGATTATTAATTGTGATATGCTGCCAACACATTTTCTATGGTTATTATAGGGAGGAGAGTAATCTGTGAGCCTTTAGACAATGAAGTACACATTTAAAACTTCATTTTTCACAGGATCTAACCACTCGCAGCTCATCTCATTTCTCTACCTTCAATATAAGTAAAACAATGTCATTTTTGAAAGGGGCATTAGGAGGCATAATTCTCTCACCATCATCCTTAGACAAAACAGTACAAAATGAAAATTATCATCATGTGCATCCCCTTTTGCCATTACCACAGTAAAATGCCCAAAGTAATTTTTGGTATGAACGTATTTTTCCGGTGATGAAAACTCTATATATTGCAGCAATATTGAGGCTGATGGGCTCTAAGGAGATACCTACAAGCTCTTCTTCTGACAAGTAATCATCCTATAAAGGGTGAGTGGTGCTTAAACATCACAACTGGCTTAGATTTACTTCCGTCCCAAAAGGCGAACAGACGTGGAAATGTTGTAGTTTTAGCATTGTTAGTTATTTGTATAAGAAAGGTAGAACAATGAAGCTAACCCCACTATACCCTTAATTTTGCTCTCTTTGTGTATAGCAAATATGGGAGCCCACATGGCTATCCTGAATGAGCACCACTTAGCACAGGAGCTTTAGTGTCACAAGTAAGTTCATTCTTCTGCATCAAAGTGCAAAAAATCAAGACTCCAAACAAATCAAAAGGAGTCCCTTTCTTTAGAATTATTTCACAATCATGTTCCCCGTTTTTTATTTTTTACTTTTTCAAAAAGCCCAAACCAGGAAACCGCTGAGAAAGGGGAAACATTCTCAAATGCATCAAAAAAATAACAGTAACACTGAAAAACACCCTTTCTCCCCAATCTACGCTAATCCTGAGTATTGGTCAAATGCTGATTCCTCCCACTGATAGTGTATCTTTTTGCACAAAGGCATCATCTGATCATGAATCTCACAAATGCTGTAAGTGTATACCTGAAAATAAATAAAGGAGAATAAAATCATAGAGTTGCTGTAAATACAGCCTCCCCCTCACAACTGCATGACTCCTACCCACACCCTTTGGGAAGTAAACGAGGTCTGTCCAGCCACGCTATAGATCTGCTGCCCAACCCTCCCCACCACAAACCTTTTGAACCAAACAAGCCAGTATCGAACAAATTTGACAGCAGTGTTGGAGATGGTAAGTTCCTACAGGTTCCTGGAAGAAGAGGAAGGCTGAGGAAGAAGGTGATCACTGAAGAGGTGGCCCAGCTCCTCCCTGCTGACCAGCCATGGGTTCATGCATACTTGCACGGGGTGAGGAACCAAGAGCCAAGAGGGAGGCAATAGGGGACACTGAAAGATCTCACTGAGGTGGGAAACAGTTTTTCTATAAATAATGTAACCAAGGACTTTGTTGTCTAATTTGTGTTCATATTATTCCCTCAAACTAAGGTCTCATTAAGGGTTTTTACCGCTTTCTAAATGATTGATCAAACCGAGGTGTTCCCCGAGACCCCAGGGAACATTATGAGCTTCAAAACACTCACCACCTCCATCCTAGCTGACAGAAATTCCCACCTGCATTCACCCAGGTCACCAAACCATATTTCTCTCTGCAGTGAACTACAGTTATTTTCTGGTGCTGCTGTTGCCTCTTGCCTTGAGGGCAGTCATTAACAGCCTGGTTATTTTGCCTCCATACTTCTCCAGAGATGTTCCTGCTGTTGCTCCCAGGTGATCGCTCAGGTTTCTTGGGTAGAGGTCTATGGACTCATATCAGCATTTTTAACGGTGCCTGCAATGATGGGACTCAACCCAGATACCCCCTCTTCCACTATTGAGTTACTAAAAATCTACAGGGCTGAAGCTTCAACCATCTCCCTGACTCCATCTGTTGATAACCACTCTCTGAGGGGGATTTTTCCTCTCCGTGTGACAATTATAACCAGGTCCCCACTGTGCAACATAAAAATCACATGAAGAAATGCCAACACCTACAGCTGAGGAACAGTTTCACAGTTTAACTAAAGCTCCCCGAAAGCTGACAAAAGCAGATTGTTGAGGTGTGAATGCCTCAAAGGTCTGAGATGAGAACGGTGTAAAAACAAACAAAACCAAACAAGCCCAGAGGCCTCAAGCTGGGGCTCCATTAGCAAGGCCTTGGTGCAAAAGGGAGATGCTCTCCCAGACTGAAAATAAAAGAAACAACCAAGTCCTTAAAGCATCAGCTCTCGGAGAAGAAGGGAAACAGGGGATGTCTGACATCCTGCACCACCACTTTGCTTTAACACTCTCTGAAAAAGGTTTAACGAGAACCTGAGCTACTGTGCAGTTTTAGTTGTTGACAGTTGCTGAAATGAAGCAGAACAAACGCTCGTAATCCCCCACCCAGGACTTGCCTAATGCCAAATACAATTTAAAAGCATGGTTTTCCAATTAACAGAAAGACAAGACATTTATTTTTAAGTCTGAATGCCGGATTAAGTCCCAGAAAAAGCCAGCCCAGATGTCCACTACACACACACACACACACAATGCCCAGCGGCAGGTACGGCCATCTGCGATTGCAAAACTGTAGAACGGAGTGTCTAATGACAGAGCAAGACACACCACAGAAGAAACAGGGTTCAAACTCCATGGCACTGCTGCACACTCTCCCCCCTCCCCAGAGAATCAAAGTTTAACACACTCATGCGTTACTAAAGGGAGGCCACAGGGTGGTTTGCTTTGGTTGGACTCTGGTCCTGGGCCTCCTAAGATCCAGAACTAAGCGGAATAAAAGTAACAAAAAGGAGAAACATCAGCAAGAAGGAAGGAGGAAGTCGTTTGATACTGCTGTATTTCCAACATCAGCAGTTATTAGAGAAATAAACACCGTCAGCCTGTCAAAGGGAGGGATGATGCTTCACCTGAGGAGAGACGTGCTTAAAACTTCACACCACGAGCCGTCAGCGAGCACGAACCCCGACACACGCTTTGCTTTGTTGGCTTTAACAGGTACCCGAGCGTACCAGGCACAAACCCTCCTGGCGTCTGAGAGCTCTTTACAGGTAGCCATTTTCTTTAACAAAAATGCTTACTACTTACCCAACTCGCTTCTGTTCTCAGAGAAGAAACGCTTTTCGTTTTAGAAACACGACCACGTGGGAAAGTTCTCCAGCCCAGGCAGCTGCACATGAAAATGTGTCTGCATCTGAGACGGTGTCAGAGCCAAGAAAGCCTGAATTAATGCAGGTTCGCATTATGAATATTTCAGCGCTACTACTTCTCTGTCAAGAGCAGTTGAAGCACAGATTTTATATAGCAGAATGTTTCCACCCTGGCTAGGAAGCTAGAGCCTGACTTAAAATACATACATATATATATATATTTATAAGGCTAGAAATATAGACGGGTATTTCAGAAGATCTCATCATAAAATGCCTGCTTGTAACTCTGGGCACTTAAAAGTACATTTAAAAAGTCACGTAGAGTTGATTTTTAGTTTTGTCTTGCTCACAGCAATGCACTATGAATAGTGCTTTTAAAGGCGCATTTTACAAACTCCCCATGAATAAGAGATTGCACTAAAAATTCGCAGTTGGTCTTGCTGTAGCATTTCAATAGCTCACCTCGCCACCAGCTGAACGTGAACAGCAGAGCACCCAGACTTGAAGACAATACACCAAAATCTATCATTTCTTCACAGTAGGTGTTGGGCATGTTTAGGAAACAGAAGAACCACCTTCCCCCCCTCCCAAATTCCAAAATAACAGATTTTCTAGGAAGCTGTTCAGAGTTCACTCCCGCTCTTACCCACGCACTGTGACACATTTCCAGCCATTCCTCAGGACGTGACATGAAATTCAGGACCAATGCATGGCACAACACCCTTTAGCTGCAAAATGAGCACCCGTTGGACTCAACAGAACTCTGCAACGCAAGGGAGCTCTCTGCATAGAGTCTTGGCAAAGAAGGACTTCACACAGAGTTCATCTGAGCCACTAATTGTTATCAAAATTACCCAAAAGCTCCTTTAAGTGATACCACTGGAACCTTCTCCAATCTGCTGTCTCTCAGGGTGTGCAATCACAGTGACATCTCCTGGTTGCTGGTGGTTCACCAGAACACTATTTCCCCCCTCAACTATCCAGCACAGCTATGCAGAAATTCTTTCTCCATTGAAGAAATGTGTTCAGATAGAGGGGAATAATTTTCCTGCTAATAAGCAAGAAAGAATAATGGGGTATATTCTGAGTTTTTCTAGTGATGACCAACAATTAATCATTTCTTAGCTCAGGTCACATCTTCTGTGGGAAGAAAAATGTCTTGCCATCATTAACTTCTTTTCAGCTAGCAATAATATATCATCAGGTTTTAAGTAATTGAACCAGTAGCATTTAATTAGCTCTGAAAAACTATCTCAGATCATGAATCACACACTTCCCACCTGTATGAGGTACCCTTATTAGGTTAAAAGTATATTTCTCTTTCCATGTGTGATGCATCTTGAATATCTAATGAGGTGCTTTTGATATATGAATTATAGTTCATACATCACATGCAGAATACAGCAGACACCCAGTCTTTTCCTTTATATAATCAAGTTTCATGTCTTGCTTCACTGCGTTATTTAAAAAAAGACTAACAAAAAAAGCCTTTTTTGTCCATGAGAAAATGGCCACTACTTGCTTCAGTTTAATAAATTCCTTTTTCTCCAGAGAACCAGCATTACAGATGAGTAAGTTAGACATCTATTTGGGGAAATGAAGTAATAGAAAGAATTATTTCCTGTTGAAAGGCAGGATGCAGAGAACTGTTATGATTTTAGACAAGACCGCATCGACATTTTTCAATAGGCCCACAACACTGACTGACCAAAGGGCATCATGTTTCCATCCTGACATTTCTTCAGACGACTTCGCTGCACACGCTAAACAGAAAACAGTCAGTGCAGTCAACTAATATTTGGGGACATCTGTGGCCAGCACAAAACAGGATCACTTCTTGTATCAGATTGTATTAAGCATCATTTTTAACATTAAATTACCTAAACCACAACCATTAATCACAAAAAAACCCAGTTTTTATTCAGCTTTCAAATATGTTTCTGAAGCCGTTATTACGCTTTTATGAAAAGACTTAGATAATTATAAGATTGGATTTATATAATTTTTTTTTTGCTGAAAAAGATAAGATTAGCAAACTTATTTTGGAAGCCAGAAATTAAGACTCACAATCTGCTCAAGTGTCAAACTGTAAACGTTGCCCAATATTTGGCTTGCTCTATAAAAAAAAGTAGTTCTACTACAAACCCCTCTATTTTTAAATAAGCTTTATAAAAAATAAAATTCAACCAAATTGATTTTCTCTCTCTTCTTTTCCCATCTAATTTTAGAACAGTAAAAAACCAGAATACACGTTTCTGCTGACTTTTTGAATTTGAAGACAGCAAAGGTTTTCATTTTCATAATTAAAAAAGCAGTGAAAGCTGAACTGTTACTGGATTGGACAAAGCTCGTCTTTACTCCAAATATGTCTTTCAGATGTTATCATAAATTGTAAATAATGTTGCTCTCGATTGCATGTGACACTTGATCTAATTACACCTAACATTTAAAAAGGCTGATGGGATTAGTGCCCCACACATTAAAAGCTGCTGAGAGAGGAAAGGATGTATGACATCCATTATGCACACATCCACTTTGAAAAATATTTGTCCTGTGGATGATAGAAATTTCAATGAGAACAGACTCACATTTACAAATCTATCCTTTACGTTAAACAGCAAAAACTCCAGTTCGTGGTACTCTATTTGGTAGATAACAATTATATCAGCTCCAGTTGTGCAGCTGACATTAGTCCTGAGGTTTTAAGAACTTTTTCTTAGCTTTTTTGCTAGGTCTTGCATTACTATCCCCATCTTCATCTTCATCCTGGAGTACACGCTGGTCTCTTTTTCTCAAGAATTTCTTCCCTATTGTTCCCACTAATGTTTCATATCTGTAAAGATAATAAAAAAATTACAGCTTTTACTAAAATTGGAGAAAACTTCAATGGAGCTTCATGCTTCAATGGAGCAATCATAAATGTAATCAACAATTTAAGTGGTGTAAAAAAGCTGGTCATCAGAAGCTTAAGAAGCACAACTACTACATGATCACTTATTATACTATTATTCATTCTGATAGTTCGGGTGTGTTAGGAATCTGGAAAAAGGAGGGAATTAGCATGGAATACCTGGATATCAAAGGGCAGAAAAACCCTACAAGATATTTTACCCCCCAAAGTGATAGAGATTCCACTGAATACACACCAGAATTCCTGGAGAATCAGTTCTCTAAAGTACCATATCTGTTGGGTTTTGGTTTTTTTTGTTTTAGTTTGTTTGCTTTTTGGGTTTATTTTCCCACATACACTGCAATAATATATCATATTCGTAGCTAATACTGATTATGTCATATAATATAACTTACCTTCTGGCCATTTCTTCATCTGACACATCAGCCTCCATTTTATCATCCACTTCAATTTCTTCTTCCTTGCACTTAGAGTTCATTTGGATCATTAACTTCTGAAAATAAAGTAAGAAATAACTTAAACATGCAACCCTGACACAGCGGCAACTAAGCTGAAATTCATTGGTAGGAGAAGCGTGTAAAGGTAAAGATCAAATTTAAAAATTGTTTTGCTGTTCTCGTTCAGGTTAGAGCATACTGTTATGAAAACCCATGAAGAAAAGGCAACGTGCCTGTCTGTTGCTAAGCTAAGCTTAGAGTTTGCCTTTGGGAAAAGAGGCAACACAGCGACAGGGTTTTCAGTGAATTGTACTATTCAAACATCCTCAAGGGCACGCCAGACATCTTCAGGAGATCAGAGAATTAGATCATAATTAATTTTTCATTGTGATGTTAGCACATAGTCCTTGAAATGGTTTTGTTAAGAAGGAAAAATATCTGCAAGGATTTACAATAAACTACTGGTAAAAACCATGAAGCAATAATATGTCAAGTCACAGTGAGAGGAAGTTCAAAATAACTGAAAGAATCCCCTGGTAAATCACCTTGCACAGCCTTTTGCATACCTCCCAGTCTTGATGCCTTCATCCTCAGACTTCAGTTCAGTGGTAACAGTTTTATTACTATCTCAGTGTAGTTCTATCCACATGAACCATGCCAAAAAGAAATTAAACACTCCCTCTACCAGAATTTTTACTTTGGAACTTTAAGCCCTCATTTACACAAGTAAGTGTTGAATATCAATAGGGTTGAATATTTGTAGGATCAGATTCTAAATTAAATGACAGAGGGAAAAGTGAGTTATTGGGACAATTTCCTCACCTGAGGCAAGGAAAATCTGCAGGAGTCCTGCAATTACTGACTATCAACGCAAGGAGAGAAAAAGCTTCTATTTACTAGATGCTGCATTGGTCAACACTTTGGTTTGAATCAAGGACTTCCTGTATGGGGGAGGATTTATGGAAGGTGATACAAAGGCCAAACATGCAGTGTGAACACTCAAATCCCCACCCCCAAGGGCTTCAACCCTAATGAGAGACCACCTCAAAACAGAATATTTAAATGGTACCTCAATTTCTGGATTGAATCCTTTGAAGGACATTCTGCCGTAAAGTAGATCCTCACATGGCATAAAGCTCCTCTCTTCTATTATAAAGCTCCTGCATGAAACCCCAAAGCATTTGTCAGATGCTATGCTTTAAAATAATCAAATTAAACAAATGCAAAAGGCATTTGTTGTCTTCCCCCCACACAAATAAACAAAACCACAGTGGATTTTAAATCATCATCTACTTTCTGAAGCGTAATTGCTTTGATAAATCTTTCAATACAAGGATCTTGGAGTGCAAAGGAATACTTTTTGCCAGTAAAGCTGTGCCAGTTCCACAAGCAAAATTAACTCTCCTGACAAAAAGCACTCTTTGCTGGTATGATTCCACCTACATTAATGCTTTTGCCAGAATAAAAATACCACATAAATATCACTCTCCAGGTGGCATTACTATAACAGCAAAAGCTTCTAATTAATTTTTCATTGTGATGTTAGACCTGGCATTAGTTGAGTCTGTCAGGATATAAACCACTGTGTAATTCTCTGTTCAGCATAGAAAGATTTCCCTTTCTCCCTCCTTTTTTCCTCTTTTAATGAGCATGGAGTGAGAAAAGATACATGACCCTGAGGCGTTCATAATACACGTGTTAGATAAAAGTACTTCCGTGAATTGTTCCATCCTTCTTTTCCTCGCACACATATGCACCTCTTCCCTCATCCTCTTCATCTCCATGTAAAACAGACCCCTACGATCATAGGAAGTTAGGCTGAAGAGAACAAGCTCATCCTCTCTTCTACCTCAAGGCAGGATCAGTTAAACGTCTACCATGAACAGCAGAGGTCCATCTAACCTGTCCTCAAAAGACTTCCAATGATGAAGAATCCAGTGTCTCCTTTGGCAACCTATTCCACTACTTCAATAGACTCATTGTTGGAAGAATTTTCCCAACGTCCAGCCTGAACCTTCCTTGCTGCAACTGAAGCTCAAATACCTTTTTGTCATATCCACCAACAGTCATGGAAAATAGTTTATCAATGACCTTATTCAACTACAGTGAATTCCCAGGACCCCAGCTTTTAAACAATTATGCATGTTCTCCCTCAATGGAATTTTTGTCCTCTTTTGAAAGGACAAATATCAAGCCATTTTAAAAGTAGTTCTCTTGCTATTTAAAGCACCTTTCTAAATAGTAGAAATGGACATTTTCTTCCTTACTAGCTAAAACTTTCTTTATTTTTGCCATTATCTGTCCTATTTCAAAAATGGGATTTTAAATGAGCTGGACTCAAGAAGACAGTAACTGTCCTGAATGGACCTAACTGTGTGACTGGAGCTGAATTTACTAACACAAAGTTTCAAACGTCTTTTTTCAAATGAAGGGGAAAAGCAGCAATGAATGAATTGGTCCCTGCCTGAAAGAAACTAATTACATGCATCTAGAAGAATGTGTGAGTGAAAGAAAACAAAACACACAAGAAATGAAAGTAGGTCAAGCTGCACTAGGAAACTTTGAGAACGTCCCTGAAAATAAATAAAAGAATAAGCTATAATGCCAGTCTGACACTATTTTTACTTCTGTTAATTAGTTATTAATAACACTTTTTTAATAGGAAAAAATATGTATATTCTATTCCCACTCCACAACAATGCAATGATGCTAAGAAATACAAAAGGGTGCAAGCTTACTCTTTCTCCTTTAGATCTGGCAAATCAAGATACCAGTGTTCTTCACTAATTATCTTCTTTTCTTCTTCTTCTAATAGTTTTTTAGTTTGTGAATCCAAACCCCTTTGCATGAACTAAAAAGAAAAGACACATAAACACACAGTTTGTTTTTTGCATCATTAGTATGTGCTTAAAATGCAATAATTACAGAACTTTCCTGGTTAGTTTTGACACATCTGAGTTGTTACAACTCCATTAACTTTGCTAAGATTTTTCCAACGTTTCAGCAAAGGCCAGAGAGAATGTAATTGCGTTGAAGTTACTGCTGTAAATGAGAAACCAACATCACCCATATCAACAGCACTGGAGCTCAGAGCTAGAGCTAGGTCATACCAGGTTGGCCATTGTTTGAAACATCTATACTTTCAACCATCCTCTTCTTTCCTCAGATTTCGTTTAACAAACTGGCTTGTGTTTGTAGCTCTGAAGGCTGGGACCTGCCTTCGGAAGTGGAAAAAAGTAACTGAGACCACAAAAAGAAATCTTCTGTATCCAGCTGTGCTAAAGGAAGATGTTACCAGCTCTTAACTTCTCATCGATGAGCCACCAAAGTAGCAATATCTGTATCTACCTGTAAACTCACTGCAGGAACACTCTGTCCAGTTAGCCAAAACCAGTAATTTAGTTTAGGGTACGGTTGCTAATTTTGTCTAATACAAGTACGTTCTTGTAAATTGTTCCCTCGGTGATAATCTTTGGCAGAGGATGGGAACAAGCAGATAGGAACAGGAACCTCTCTCACAGCTGGGAGCAGAAGAGGACATCTGCCTTGGCCTATGAAAAAATGCCAAGAGTGCAAAACTATGGACCTGATGTATGTGAAACATCCCTTTTCTTTCCATTTGTCTCATCAGGTGCCTGAATTGAGCCGCAATTTAAGTACCAACAATATTAACCAAAGTTGCTGGATTCATGACTTTACAGTAGTAATCCTTATAGTCTCTATCCCTAGGAGCTGAGATCTCCCTTATGGTCTAAAGAAAGTGTCTGAATGACTGTATCTGCCAGAGGTGTACATTTATACCAATGCAACTCCCAGCTAGAGGCAAGTCTACCAGTACAGTTTAGACACACTCCTGCCCCCGCAAAAAATTGCTTTGTGGCTATCAAAGCACACCTGTATGTGCAACGCTACAGAGGAATTTCCTATCAACCAATTTTACCTCTCTCATTTAACGCAGCATCAATTTTGTGTTTAGATAAGCCTGCAGGCTGACAGATAACGTGCCAGTGGGGCTCATTTGTCTCTTGAAGACTAGCAAAGACGTTTTCTAGGTCCCAGCTAAAATGGGGTTGGTTGCGAATAAAGCCCAAGAAGGCATCACAAAACACTTCCCTCCCACAAAAGTCCTGCATTACTGAGCTTATTTAAAATATATAGGTAATATGTATGTATATACATATTATTTACAAACCTCCCATTTTCAGTCTTTACAAAATGCCCATGCAAAACAAACCAAATCCTGAAGTAAAAGCCAATACGGTGCTAGTGCCTCATTTTCCACTTATATTTCTATTTGCATCCGTTTGTACAAGATCTTTAATGAAAGAAAAATTGACTTTTGTTTTCTGAGTCAATTCAAAATATGTCAAAGCTTTCCAATTAAAATTACAGTATCTTCCTGAGGAAAATAAGGGAATCTATCATGTGGAAAACCTTATTGCTCAAGGAAATTGGTTAGCCAGTCAGAAATCTCAACAGGAAAAATTCTGCTACAAGCACCCAATTAAATAATCATTTCATGTTACATTTTAAAGATTATGTTCCTGAAGATTACTACAGGAATAACTAGATAAAAAATATGTCATCGCATTTATCTAAAATGTAAACACACACGGATAAATGAAAAATATATCCATCGTGGTAGAGACAGAGTATGTAAGTCAATAAACTGAGTGGTTATTTGGATTCATTTCCCCAAGCAATGAGACCTGGATCAAATGGTGCAAGATCTCAAAGCAGGAGCCATCCTTCAACATCCAGAGGTGAGCACACATGGTCCAGGGCTTAGTGCAAATGGTCTTCACAATGCTACCACTGATCACGTCACCTTTGGGTGCCACTCTACCTGCCTGCTGAATAGTGATAATACATTTTATCAGTACCTGCAGAAGCAGCTGCTGAAGGATTAATTAAAACATTTGTAAACAAGAAAATCTGCAAAAGGGAAGTGCTAAATACAAAATCTGTATATGACCTTTTCAAAACCTACTCATCTCTTCAAAGCTGGTTACTACTGCCCGGACTGTAAACCTGCAAATGTCACGGCAGCATATTCACAGGCTGGTTCTCCTCAGCCTTCCAAGGAAGAAAATCTAAAAACTGGCTTTTGAAATCTCTGGGGGTTAATAATCTGGCAAAAAAAAAAAAAAAAAACCACCAACCCAAAACCCCTGGAGTAGAAATTTCACTTTAAAGGAGAGTATTACATAAAAATAAGAAAAAATAATGGTGCTGCAATCAAGGTTAAGGGAGTCATATGCTGCTGGCTTAACTAAGCTCAACATCTACTCCCTTTGGAGAGCAAGGCAAGATGTGTTCCACTCCCTCTGTGGACAAGTTTTAGTCTTTCATTAGCAGAATCTGTTAATTGGGATAAATATTCTACCATCTTACTGTATCAGAGTTCACTTCATGTGAAAGATTGAACTGAAGTTTAGAGCTAAACTCCTTTCTGCCAGTGTCTGAAATATACTCCCATATAAATATATGGGTTAAAAAGTGGTTAAATAGAACACCACAAGCAAGATACCGCAAAGGCCCCTTCATATTCAGTTATAAAAATTTAATAGATACTAGCATTTTTAAAAAAAATTAATGACAACTCAACTTTTACTGGTTGCTTTCCAGCAATAAAGGCCCATCAATCACAGGAGAATGTACTCTACTGAATTAGGTGTTGTAGTGCATGACGTGAAGCAGAATCCATCAGCCAGTAAGTGGAGACTAATTTCACATTGGTGTTGACACGAGATTCACAATTCCAAGGGTAATGGGCACGTCAGGATGTTACCAACAGGCCTTGCATTTATGAGTTGGGAAAGGTGGTTAGCACTGCCATTCAGGGCAGGTATTTTATTAGCTATCAGTGGAAACAGACAAAAAAATGGACACAAAAAATGGTGCCCAGAAGTTGTCTCTTGCTAAGGTGAGGGTTTTGCTGCAACCATGAGGCCGGGTGAGGCTTGTGCTGCAACCATGAGGCTGCTCTCCTGGACCAAGCCCTCCAGCACCCGAATTTATAACCCCCCCCGAGGCCTCTTGGCGGCATTTAACCAGCCCAGTATTTGCTAACAGCTCCCTGAAATCGCCCCTTGCCGGCCAAGCTGGAAGGGAGCAGCCCACAGAGCTGCAGGCCTGAGTGGAAGGGCGAGCAAAGCCGAAGATAAATACATCATGTATTTTAAAAACGTGCGTTAGGGAGGCAGGAGGCAGTCACGCCCGCCCGTCAGACCGGCACAGACACGGAAAATGCCCCAGACCGGGGAAGGGCCGCCCGAGATGGCCTGGTTTACCCGGCAGAGCCCCCTCCCCGGCCCAAGCACAGGCCGCCTCAGGGCCCCGGGCCCGCGGCGAGCAGTTCCCCGGGAGCAGCAGGCCCCACCGCTCCCTCCTCACCCCACCGCGGGCCGGGCCTCCGGCACCCCCTCGTCCTCCTTCCCTCCCCGCTCCCCCCTCACCTTCATGCGCAGGAGGTTCTTGGACAGCTTCGTCTTCACCTCCCCGGCCATGGCGGCCGGCGCTGCCCGCTAGGCCGCAGCCGATCCCCGCGCTCGCGTAGCGCCCAGGCCGCGCAGGCCGGGGGAGGAGCGGGAGGCGGTGGCGGCGGCGCGGCTCCACCCTCCGCCTCTAGGGCCCTGCCCACACCCCGAGCGGGGCTGAGGGGGGTGCGCGTTTGGTGCGAAAAAATCTTGAAAACGTGCAACTTTTCTGTGCAGAGCCGGTTGTGTGGGGTGAGGGAGAGGTGGGGTGTGCGAGCAGGAGATAAATCTGCCTGGGTACGAAACGGTAAATTAGTAGGGGAACCTGAGATTTCTTATCAACGCTCATGCGTTCTGTCGTGCTGCCGGCTTACGGTTTCATCCATAGTTTTCTGATACATCAAAGAGAGAAGGAAAGGGAGTATAAAATCTGTTTCATGTTGACATTTGCAGACAGCTTGACTTGTTGAGCTTTCATTTTTTAAAATCAGCACTGACTGCTTGCAAAAAAAAATAATGCCAAACCACAAAATGGCCAAATGTGATTAAAACTGGAAAGCACATAAATTCAAAGACAGAATCACAGAGTGATTAGGTTGGATCATCCAGTTCCAACCGCCCTGCCGTGGGCAGGGACACCTCCCACCAGAGGAGGTTGCTCAAAGCCCCATCCAGCCTGGCCTTGAACCCCTCCAGGGATGGGGCACCCACAGCTTCTCTTGGGCAACCCGTGCCGGTGTCTCACCACCCTCACAGTGAAAAATTTCCTCCTGATATCCAATCTAAGTCTACCCTCTTCCAGTTTGAAGCCATTAGCCCTCATCCTATCGCTTCACTCCCTGATAAAGAGTTGTCCCCCCCCATCTCTCCTGTAGGCCACCTTCAGATACTGGAAGGGGCTATAAGGTCTTCCCAGAGCCTTTTCTTCTCCAGACTGAACAACCCCAATACTCTCAGCCTGTCAGTATTACAAAAAAGCTTCAAAGGTTTGTTAGTCCTGAGTCACAACCTTTAAACTCAATCTTGGCAGTGCTGTCTTTGGGCTGCCAGGCTGGGCCCTGGTAGCTGAGGAGGAAATTCTGATAGGAGATTGCCAGTTGACTCCCAGTCACAAGCAGGTACCACAATTTCTGTATATATCCTCATAAATCAGATTTCTCACGCCTGTTTTGACATTCAGCACATAAGCCAGCCGATAAAGCAATGAGAGTGAGGGTTCAGTGTTCAAAACTTTAATGAACTGGCGTGCTCCGAAAGACAATCCAGGGAGAAAAGTTCCCCCATCTGCAAGATATAGGTCAAAGCTTGAAGAACTCTGTGAAGATTTATGCGCTAATAGAATCCACAAAAACGTATAATGAAGGGCAAAACCTGATTGCAGTGGGAAAGGAGGAGGAGGAATTATCCACATCCAGGCATCCTTATTACACAGTTAAGCGCAGTGGGTTAAAATGACCACAAACGCGAATGAAACTTGGAGCCACAACCGCTTCAAGGCAAAGTCATAACACTGCATGGAAGTATTTAATTTTCATATAGGCAAGGCACCTTCATTTCCAGGCTCCGCAAATGAGTTGAAGCTGCTCTGAAATTCAAGGCCCCGTTGAGAAAGTCTCTTTGTGAGCATGGATGCTATTCGGCTTCATTTGGCCCCGTCGTGTTCAGCTCCTTCCCTGTTCACTTTCTCATTAACAGCTATCAACCCTTCCCAACAAAGGAAGGCTGAGAAGAAATTTGCAGTTTTGTGAATACAAATGTTCATCAAAGAATTAGTATGTTTGAATCTTAGTGAACAAACCAATAGGGGAAAGCTGTTAATTAATATAATGGCATAGTACAGCCATAATCGGACTATTTTTTGTGTTTTCTAGTTGCCATGCATTCTAATAATGTATTTGCTTTTTGTTGATCATTGCAAATCAGAGCTCTGCGTTTAATTGCATGGCCTTGAGTGTCACTCAGGGCTTTTCCTGAGCAGTTTCAGTTAATTTACAGTCCAGGAATGTGCTTCAGATTATTCCTTCTAAATACATTACTGTGCACCCATCAGCACTTCTCCAACCACTGAGCTATGGCAGGGCCCAGCTTTGCTTGGTGCCCTTTACGAGAGCTCTTACTGTCCCTCCTGCCCCTGGAGCATCCTGGCTCATCAATTCCTGCAGCCCCCATCTTCAGCAGACTCTGCTTAGAGCCTTTTTTGGATGCAGACACTGCACACAGGAGCTGCCTGGCACCTTTGATGTAAAGATGCACGATACCACCAACCCTTTAATCTCTGGGAGCTGAGTCTAATAATTTACAACGCCATGCGGTGTCTAACTGGGAGGGGGACTGTGCAAGGGGCTTTCAACTTGTTTAACCACGGGGATTATTCTCGGTGCTCCCTGGTGAGCGAGAGCTGGGGATCGTGGATTGCACCCCGTGCTGCATCACAGGTGTGCACTGTTGGTGTGTTGGCACATCAGCTAACAGCCCGCCTGGATACAGGCAGGGAGAAGTGTTTTGCAGTAAAGGCAATAGAGGCTGGGTGATGTTTATTTAGAAAAGTGGAGATTGTAAAAAGGCTGCCACAGAATTTGATCTATTTTGGCAGTAAAAAAGTCCGAAGGAAATTTTTGGATTACATCTCCCATCGCGTGAATTGGATGGGGAGGTTATAGATAACAATCAGCTGTCTCGTGGACCAGATTATACTGTCTGGTAAATGTGAAGACACTCCATTGATTATAGGAGAAATTTTGATGATTTATGGGTTGTGGTGGAGGTAGCTCAGAGAAGAATCCAGCCCTGTAAATATTCCTGCTTGTGAGGCGGGGTGAGGGCAAGGAGACGAGGTAGAAGAAGTGCTCTATTTAGAGAAGAATCGAGGGTCATTGTAAATGACAATTAGACACCTCTCCCACAGCTCTGACAGCTGCACGGCAGCTCTTCTTTCAACCTGGAAATCCATTTCTTTTTCAAAACAAAACTGCTCAGGGAAATAACTCAGGGGAGAGGAGCTCCATCTCATCAAAGATTGTACATTAAACAAGCAGATAAAAGATTTTTCTTCCTAGGCGATGTGGTCCCTTCTCCCTCTAGTAATTACAGAAGTCAAATCAAAGTTGTCATTAACATTATTTAAGAAGTAATCTCTCTTGGAGCAACACAAGTGACAGCTGTGAACTAATTTCACGCCAATGGGATCTAATTTGAGGGAACTCATGGGTTACTTTTCCCGTAACCTTTTATTTATTCATATTTGCGCAGTATTGTGATTTTAGCGCAAAATGGATATCTCAAACCTTACACCAATCCATCCGTTGACTCGGTTTTTTATGAGCTGTCATTGAATTCTGAAGTAGCTTTTTACTTCTCTAAGAATACTTGAAGCATTTCTCCCCCCACCAAATATAAAAATCCTTAGAGTATGACAGGTGAGTCATTAATTTGTGTCAAACTCCCCCACTATGTTTTAAGTAAGGATATTATGTGTTTGTCTCTATGAATGAGGAAAAGAAAATGAGAAGTAGAGCTGCCGGAGGTCTGTTTGCAAACCTGAAAGGGAGGTGTGAAGTGCTGCGTATGACTGGGTGGGATCAGAAAGGCAGTTTTGTACCCTGTGCTCCCTACAGAAATAGCGTGAAATTCTCCAAGTGGTAGCGAGGCGCTGTTTTGAAGTGGAAGACTCCTGGTTTTTTTATCTCTCTTGCTCCCACCAAGCTCTGAGCTGCTAATGCATGTGGCGTATTGACAACTGCTGAGGTCCTGGGTGACCGGGGATTTGTTACAATATTCATTACCCTTTGATGCATGCATGTTTAACCCGCTGGCCCGCCTGCATCGCTCAGCCCGCTTTGTACCTAATCCATGGAGGATATGGGTTAGATACAGCTTTTGGCTTCAGCACGTGGCGTGTCAGCTCAGCCTGCACTGACTCATCCTCTGAGCTTTTGAAGTCCTCTTTTCCGGCGCTGGCACCGGTTTTAGGTGGCAGCTGACACACGTGGAGTATTTTAAATCCCTGCCCCATGGTTCCTCATCTGACCCCAAGGTTTGCTGTAGATGGGGAACGAGGTGGAAAGAATGAAGCAGAAGCCAAACTCCTATAATTTGAGTAACACAGACCTGTAAGCGCTGCTCACGTTGTTGATGCTTTAAAAACAGCCTTACGTGGTTCACAATTTATGTAGCATGAAAAGGTGTGCCTTAAAATTGTGCTTGTAGGAAAACAGAGTTACAAAACCTCAAGAAGAACCAAGACGTGTCTTTGTCTGCAGAAAGTGCCTGTTGTCAGTTTGGGAGAAGACAATTCATTTTGAGTGCTTCTGGCTGTCCCCGTGGCAGGGTGACCTTTATGTGAGAATAAATACAGTAATTCCTTTTTGATTACAGAAAGCAGCAGCTTCATAATGGTAGCTCCCTATCTTCTGCCATCACCTAAAGTGGCGGGGGGAACACACACCAGTCTGTCATTCTGCTGGCACATGGATAAGCCTAAAAATTTGATCCTGTGTTGAAACGATTTGCTGGATCCCGGTGCTAGGAGTCAGAGCAGAATGACTGAAGAACGGTGTGGCGCGTCCTTCTCTGTGCTTGCCTTTAAAAATCAAGAGGCTTTTAACTTTTTGGGTTTGACGGAATCACAATTAAAAAGAGAAAAGGAAAATATCACCTTGCGTTTGTTAACTATAAAAATGCAATCCAGCGGCGCTGCTGGTGCTTTGCTATTTCCCAGGTCAATAAATGGTTCCCCTGACTTTAATAAACATTGATGCTGCAGGCTTGTTCTACAGTGATTGAACTTTTTTATAGTTTCAACCACTCACATTGCATGAAAGCTTGAAGATTTTATTTTTCTTTTTTCTTCTTTTTCAGGAGGGTTGGTTCTGATTGATTAAATTGTCATTTTCTGAGTTAGTTGCTGAATTATAACTTGGCATTTGTAACCGTGTGATTTGTTTAAAGAGACAGCTTTTTGATATAGCAAACCAGCTGAGAATTTTTAAGCAGTAAAAGGAAATTTTGCTCACTTTGTTCTCAGCCTTTCATCACTGCCTGACAAAAATGCTCCTGAAAACAATGTAGAGGCTATGATATGAGGAGAAGGTTTTTTAGATTCATGCTCACTT